AAGAAGGGGAGATAAGGATGATAGATGTTTGATAGGAAAGAAGAAGCAAACCACACCAGAGCACCCGCCAACCACCCACTTACATGATCTTTGACCATAGACATCCAAGTGTTTTATTCGACTCTGTAGCAGTTGGAAGGGTAGAACCTCCTCCTACTGTGCAGTGTGTTAATTGTTTGACAGCCCTCCCCCCCCTCCCCCTCCCTCCCCCATCGACCCTAACTTAAGAAGATTTTCTTCGACCAAATCAGTTATTGTTTACCAAAAGCACACAACGCTGTCAGGGACCACACATGAAAATTCTGGAGTCAATGGGTACAGTTCAATGAGTCAAAGGACAGATGAAGAGGAGCCAACAAGGAATGTCCAATTTCAAAGAAAGTAGATATATATATATCAGCACAGTAAGGTCATACAAGTGCCGAAGATTAGAGGTGATACAAGAGAGTAACAAACACAAAAAAGAAGGAGGAGAGATCAGGACGATAGATGTTTGATAGGAAAGAAGGAGCAAACCACACCAGAGCACCCGCCAACCATCCACAAACAAAGCCTGAGGGGGTGTGTGTACAACATATGTGCGTATTTGAGAAGCTGGTCAATTTCTCTTTTATTTAATGAGTTGACTTGAGGGAGACAGTCATGTGACCTCAGGATATAAAAAAAAAGTTACAATGACACAACAATGAGCACTCACACCATGTCCATTTATATCAATGAGTATTAAGTACTTTTGTGGCAAACTACCATATGATATATCTTTATATTAATCATAACCAATGAGTATTTATACAGTAAGTCCCTTTCCATTTCTCAAATACATTCTCTTACTGCAACGGAGGTTAACGCACAAAGGAAAAAAGTAGCCGGATGCTGATTCTCATCTCGCTTTACAAAACTGAGCATCCAAGTAAGTGACAGACACTTCCACAGAAAAAAGAAGAATGGTGAAATAGAAGAGCCTTTCTCTAGTAAATTAAAAAAAGAATATACTCTAAAATAAGTATTATTTATACCTTGATCCAACACCACAATATAATTGTAAAAGGAAAATATTCATGAAGAAACCAACCCCCCCCCCCCCCCAAAAAAAAAAGATAAAAAAAAACTCACCCAAGCAGTCTGGTTCTTTGACATACTGATTTCCCTCCAGGTAACCGAGGGCGCTGCACGTGGCTTGTAGCTCCACATCCATGTTGAATGGGGACTCTCGCTGACTGGACACTCCCTTACTTTGCCTGTTCCTTTCACACTATCTCCTGTGATTTTGAACAAAGACTGTCAATGACGATACTGCACTGGGGGAGGGAACACAAGTGACAAATTTATACGGTATTAGAGGCCATGACAGTGGCACTCAACTACTATATTACTACATGACTATATTTGGCATATATATATATCATAGTATGGAGCCCATATCATAAATATGATGTATAAAATCATGTTCAGTGTAGACCTATAATATAAACAGTTTATAAAAAAACTGAAATACATCATGTAGCAGCAAGAAGTCAAACTCATAAAGGCAGAATTTCTCAAAACTTCACACTTAGAAACACATATGACTGTTACTTAGTGTATAGTTGTATTAAAATCCTAACCACACTTCAGTTAAAATAAAATTAACCATACATCCTCCACTTGACACACAAAGCATAGCAATGGCCACCACTCTGTGTGTGTGTGTGGGGGGGGGGGGGGGGCACATTGTATGGTAGCAGAAATTTTTTTTAAAATTATGTCTGTGTGCGTGTGTGTGCGGGGTGGGGGGGGAGATTGTGTGTCTGAAGGCTATGCCCCTCTAGGTAAATATTTACTTTCATTTCCGCACCAAATGGCTGTATTTTTTGCTGTAGATTACAATATATATGGCCGCTAAAACAGTCACAAATAAATTATTTTCTGGATGAAAATTTCAAACCCTTTATATTCTTAAACATGGGTAAAAACAGGGAGGCATGCGTTACGGTATCAAAGCAGTAGAAGTAGTAGACCTATCCTAGCCTATAGCAGCATAGCAGCCATGCAGCCCCTAGACCAAGGCCAAGGCAGCGTTATTATGCAGCATAGTCACGTATGGGCATAATTAGGTTATTAGGGCATTTAAGCTATAGTATAGAGGGTCGCCTCTATTTCTCCGAAAGTTCGCGAAAATAAACTAGAACTCTATTTCTCTGAACGAAGTGGCTATTCGGACTCGAGTCCGAATATGATAAAATGTTATTCGGACTCTGATTCTTGTCCAGCATGACATCACTTCCGACTTCCTGTGACTCGTGACTCCGGCTTCCTGTCCTGCCTCACTCGTGACTCGCCTCAGGCTGGGTAGAGACCGGGATCACTTCGGGCAAAATGGCGTTAAATTGTGCCGGAGCCGCGTTTTTATTTTATGATGAATTTGAGGCCGGCCTGAAAATTTAGAGGGCTTCTAAATGTTTATTTATATCAAGAGGTCATCAGTTCTAAGCAATTACAGATGGCTCGTTAGTGTGTGTCGGGGTCGGATGGGCGGCCTGCACACGTGTGGCTGTGTGTGCGTG